GTATCACAATTTCCACAAAAATATTGGGCAGCACGACTGTTTTCAACATTGATAATAATCAGAAATGTTTCTTGAGCAGCAAATCAGCATATTAGAATGATTTCTGAAGATCATGTGACACTGAAGACTGGAGTAATGATGCTGAAAATTCAGCTTTGCATCATATGAATTTTTAAATATATCACAACAGACAACAGCTACTTTAAATTGTAATAATATTACACAATATTAGTTTTTATTGTATTTTTGATCAAATGAATGCAGTTTTTTAAAAATGAATACATAAAAAAATCTTACCAACCCCAAACTTTTGAACGTTATCATTCACTATATTCATGTGTTAATTAAGCACAAAGTTTGTAATCTTTTGCTTACAAATATAAAGTATGTAAACTATAATCTCACTGTAAGTGTGACTTCTCAAGAGGAGTTATTATTATTTCATCTGAGCTTTAACAGTTGAGATTTAACTGGAGTCCTATGTTTTGGGTTGATCACTGCCTCAACAATGTTTTTTTTTTTTCAGCTTTGCCACATATACATATTTTAGAAATGAACCATTCAATCAACAAAATTAAACACAATAATCCACAAGTAATCCACAGCACTCCAGTCCATCAGTTACCATCTGGAGAAGACAAAAGCTGAAACACATCCAGCATTAAGACGTTTTTAGCTTCTGACTAAAATACAAGTTCATAATATTGCATTCTCCAGTGAAAAGTGGTCTGTTCTGAATCAGGAAAGAAATCTGCACAGATCAAGCCGCGTTTACAAGCCAAAACAGCTCTAAACAAATTTGTGGGTGGATTTTGATGTGAGAGACAACAGGAGATTGTTTTTTACTGGAGGAAGCGTTATTATGTGTTATGGGCTCATATATTTTAGTTAAACACGTCTTAATGCTGGATGTGTTTCATCTTTTGTCTTCTCCAGATGTTAACTGATGGACTGGAGTGGTGTGGATTACTTGTGGATTATTGTGATGTTTTTATCAGCTGTTTGGACTCTCATTCTGACGGCACCCATTCACTGCAGAGCATCCATTGCTGAGACACTGATGCAATGCTACATTTCTACAAACCTGAAGATGGTGGTGTCATTTTCAGCAAATTATTCAGTTTTGGATTAACTATTCCTTTAATTCCACATTTCCTGCTTATTTTCATTTTCATTACACTTTTATCCATTGCTATTAAATATTTTTATGAGTTCATTCATTCCCTGGGAGTCAAACCCATGATGTTGGCTGCTGTTTGTGCTATTTTAAGTCAAAAAACCCAGGAACATCTTTAACCAATAACAATAAAGCAACGTTTGCCACGCCCACACTAGCGACCAAATCACCCTCATTTGTTCCAAACCTACATGTTATTTTTTTTCTGAGACTCATTAAAGGGATTTTTTTAGAGACTTTTAAGCACTTTTTCCGATCTTACGAATCATATGAACAGGTTTGGAACGACATGAGGGTGTAAAAATAACAGTATTTTTGGCCGATCGGTGACCACACATTTAGAAGAGCAGACGTCGTCATGTTTTGAATGATTGATGTGTTTCTGTTTCCAGACGCTAGCGTTTCTCTCTTCCGCTGCTGCTATTGGCTCAGAGAGCGGGAGGCATGTCATGAACCGTACTGTAACTCCTGAATGATGTATGCAGATTCTCATGTAAACCAACCTAATAAAAGAGCGACCACACACACAGCTGACGTTCCTGTCGTCCACGTCTGAGCGCTTTGAGTCTCCGTCACATGTCAGACTCAGAAATGATGAATTACACAGAGTGCATGGGCGTGCCGCAGTGTTTGTGCCACAGATCGATGGCTTTAGTGACGATGGCGTCTGTGTTCTCCTGCGGCAGCTGTACAGAGAGACCAAGACATCAGAAGCGCTTTAGCAACATTTATAGCTTTATGTCGGTGCATCAAAAACTTAAATGTTAAATCACAGAAACTACAGAAAAAGGTTGGGAACATTTTCTGGGTTCAATATTCTATTCATTCAAATTCTATTCAATATCATTTGTGGCAAAATGTTAATTTAATATGATTAATAACTTAGTTAATTAACTGTTCCTAAATTTAAAAAAAAACATAATGCAATTCCTTGTTCCTCAATTAAAAAAAACTACCTCATAATAATTATAAAATGTTGTTTAATAAAATTAATAAAATAAAAAAATCATAAAATTAATTTATTGTTCCTCGTTAAAAAAAAATGGCATTTCATATAATAATAATAAATGAATAGTATTTAAAACAATAAATAAAATAATACTAAAATAATTCCTTGTTCCTCAATTAAAATAGTAGTTCAAATAAAATAAATCATCTTATGTAGTATATTAATAAAATAAAAATATATAGAAATAATAAAGTAATTACTTGCTCAATTAAAAAAACAGGTAGCCATATAATAATGATAATAATGATGTTACTTAATAGAATTAATAAAATAAAATAAAACAAATAAAAAATATTTGTCCCTCAATTAAAAAACAGTAGTTCATTTAATAATAAGAGTAATAAAATACTGTTATTTTATATAAATAAGGGTTTCTCAAAAAACAGTGGTTGATAGAAGAAGAATCAATTAAATGATAAAATCTTTAGTGAAAGTTTATGGGACGAGAGTACTGGAGGATTTTAAAAGATAAAAAAAATTACTTGAAAAGGGTCATACTGTAAAGATGAATAAAGTACATTCATTAACATGTATTGAACCCAGAACATTTCTTTAAACAAACCCATTTTTGCCATGATATGTAACTGAAAGAGTGATGTTTGCGGCTCACATTAGACAGGAAGTTGTAAACTCCATCCGGGTCACTCATTCCCATCAGCATGATCTTATAGCTGAGCAGAATCTCCACGGCAACAAACACCAGGATCTTACATGAGCCGCTGATGACTTTATCCCAAACCCTATCGACCAATCACAGCACAGCACAGTCCATCAGTCAGCCAATCACACAAGAGCACAATCAATTAATCAGACAATCACAAGTTTCAACAATTTTCAACATTGATAATAATCAGAAATGTTTCTTGAGCAGCAAATCAGCATATGTGAGCCTGCAGCACAAAAGCAGTGTTAAGTCGCTGAGGTATATTTGTAGCAATAGCCAACAATACATTGTATGGGTCAAAATTATTGATTTTTCTTTTATGCCAAAAATCATTAGGATATTAAGTAAAGATCATGTTCCATGAAGATATTTTGTAAGTTTCTTACCGTAAATATATCAAAACTTAATGTTTGATTAGTAATATGCATTGCTAAGAACTTAATTTGGACAAATTCAAAAGCGATTTTCTCAGTATTTAGATTTTTCTGCACCCTCAGATTCCAGATTTT